CGAAATAGGGTGAATACATCTTATTGTAGGTAGATCAGCTGGAAGATGTGATTGTTGATCTGTGCGAATACCTCCTCGGCATACCACCCTGCGCGGACGAAAGATGAGCAAAGAATCTTCGCGGTCGCGAAGCGGTGCGCCGAGGACCTATTCGCACAAACCTACAATCACAGCCTCAAGACACTCCCCCTACAGTGACCGGCAAGACCAGCTTACGAATCCCTCCAACTAGCCTCTTCAAGCGAAATGAAAGCTACGCCCAACATCAATCTATTGAGGAATTATTCTTTTTCTACATGTCCAGGTAAAGCAAGCAAGGCCATGATGACGCTTACTCATCTGAATGTGGAAATAACACAATTGTCAGCTCAACTCATATCATTGTGGGAAAATTCTACTACCAGTCCTTCATCACCTTAGACGAAATAGGGTGAATACATGTCATTACACTGATTTACTGGTAGTCTCGAAACTCTACTTACTTACGATCTACCTACACATTCGGGTGGGGCCAACTTACGAGTCTCTTCAACTCGCCTCTTCAAGCGAAACAAAACGATACTCCACCGGTGATGTTTTGTCCAGACGGAGACCCGCCAAGGTCCCCTCAACTCGCCCAGCGGGATTCGATAGACCCTTCGACGATATCGCAACCGTGGGCCCTCTTGAACTGCCTCGTGTTGGCGCACTTGAACGGAGGCGCACGAGGCCTGTAAAATGGCTTCAAAAGCGGCAAAATCAATTGGCGGGACCGGTCGGAATGAAGGAACTGGCGCAAGAATGCGGAAGGCCCGGCGAGACGACGAAAAATTCAGTCTACAGCCGCTTCCCTCGGGATCCTAAACTCATCTCCCTCGCCTCACAACTCTCTCTCAACAGCTTCGGCCCACGCGATCTGACGCATCTGTCGCTACCGTCGACGCGTGAAGACGACGAAGCGCCGCCCTACATTCGCAGTCCGTCCAAATGGCCCAAGCTGGAGGTGTTGTCGCGCGGCGAGCGGCAATCGTTCGCCGTCACTCCGGACCGAGTCCCGTCGGACTGTCACGTCTGCCTGGCCTGCGGCATGGACTGTCTCCAGCACGAGCGACTCTACGTGCACCTGCGCGACCATCTGCATCGGTTCGGCTCGGTGCACTCGGAGAGCCGGGAGCCGATGTACCAGTGCAAGCACTGCGAGGGGGAGTTGGCCTGCTCCACCCTCATGCGGCACCCGTGCTTCCTGGAGAGCCTGAGGGCGCTGCACTGCATCGAGAGGTACATCGACTACGAGGGCTCCCCGCTCGTCTGTGTCCTCTGCAAGGGCCGACTGCTGCCATCGCGGGCACACCTCATCCTCCACATCATCATCGGCCACTCGGTCCACAGGGACCCCAGAAAGTGTGTCTTCTGCCAGGCAGAGTTCCCCTCGGAGAGTCTGATCACGCAAGAGTTGCACGCCTACGAGCATCATCTGGCCAGCGTTCAGGTGCTCACCAGACAGGCCAGCTTCGGCAAGATTCGCAGTGGCCTCGGCAGCGGTAGCGGCGGCGCTGGTGGCGGTGGCGGTAACCGGGTCGACTCGTGGCGACCGTTTCTATGCCTCTTCACTGACGCCGTCTTCCCGGCCCAGACGGGCCCGTCGTCAAGGCTGGCTGAGGAGCGTTTCTGGGAGCCGGGCGACAACAACAATTTCGAGCTGCCACCAATCGGGCTGAGCTCGGACAAACGTCCGCTCAAGTGTACCCGTACCAGTCTGCTCTGTTCGAGTAGACCCAATCAGGGCAGCCGACACCTCACGCTCACTCGCAATGAGCATCCGGACGAGACGGTGTTGCCGCGCGTCGGTCGGACGACCGGTTTACGTCGGTCGCGGGGTGATCCATTGCACCGCTCCGTCGGCGACTCCTGCCTCAACCAGGCCAACGAAGAATTGGCCGACTCCAGTAACGAAAAAGGCGCCAAATCGCGAAAACTATGTCTACAGGGCTTCAACAGCCTGGCCGCGTTCACTGTACACGTACAGGCCATGCACACCTCGTGGGAGCCGGATTGGCACGACGACCCGAAAGTTGATGCCTCCAAAATGTACTCGAAAATGCACCGAATTTTTGGAGTTCGCATACGTGACCTCGCCTCATTGGCCACCTCGAACGACCCAAGACGCAGCGTGATAGATGTCGATGACGACAATGAAGAAGATAAATCTCAGTCCCTCGACGACGTAACCTCATTGAACGACCAAGGGAAGGTAGGCCTTAATAAAAAGTTGACGCTGGCGAGGAGAAGCCAAAAAAAGCAGAGTCTGTTAGTCCATAACACCCGCCTCAACCAAGTTCCAGATCAAGGTCCAGATAACGAATATTCCTTAATTCAATCTCAAGAATTCGACTTTAGTACAAAAACGGGAAATTCCGTTGACATCATCGATGCCCACGACTCAGCCCACCCAGTCGACGAATTTCGAGCGCCTACTTCAGAAATGGAACCTGTTTCTCAGCCTCAAGATACCTCCCCGAACCGTTGTCAAAGCAACAGCCCTGAAATGCAACAGAGTCAAAGTAATGCTCAACCAGACACTAGGCTATTTACCGGCCATAGCAACCCTGCTGCCATGACAATAAACAACAACAGTATCTCAGTCAGGAGCAGGCAATTAAAAATCTCGTCCTGCCGGGAAAGTAACTATAATCACTCCTCCAATCCGCCTACAAGACAAACGGTCAACCTGTTACGACTTAACTCTAAGTCCCAGCCCTCCAGGTTGGTGATTGCTCCAAACAGCAAGCTGGGAATAAATGAAAAAAATCGTTTAGAAAACGCCGACCTGTCACATGATCTGGGGTCGAGTCTTGATTCCATAGGTTCTTTTGGGTATCTCCAGAATTGCCGAATCTGTGGGATGGAGGTAAAGAGCCTAAAGCACATGGAAGGGCACACGGACAAATGTCATTTGGTTGCGTTTCTACACCGTATAAAGTGCCTAAACGAAAGAGGAAAGCTGAGGGAGCGGATAGATATTCAGTCCCTCTGTCTGGAATGCTACATACTTTTCCCAGATAGATTCAAATTACAGGTTTGTTATAACTTGGACAATAAAAAATTTATTTAAATAAGGGCAAACAATTGTATTGAAAGAAATTAAGGATCTAAACCACTTTTAGTAAAATTGATACTTTTCAAAAGGCAATTTAGGTTAGCATTG